TAGATGCCGGCTCGATGGTCTTATTATTTATTATTTCAACACATAAATATTGGTACAAGACGGCATCAAATATATATGCGCCACACCATATTTGTGTGTGTGTGGGCTGTGATACTGCCCGGGTGCCCAGATCGAAACAGGTGATTTTCTTAGGAGACCACACCCGGAGCCTTTGACCTTAAGGTCTGACCCACAAGGCAATGGAGCATCGTGAGAAGATGCGGTCCCATGGAAGCCGGTGACCAACAATTGGTTCATATGCCATTTGTTCCTTCAGGATACTAGAGCCCATGTGCACCATTGGTTTGGGATCCGGTTAAAGCGCCGGGAGTTCGCTTTTCGTCCTCTGATTTTCGTAAACAACACCCCCGTCACGAGAAGGCAGTGAGTAGGACTTCCCTGGCAGCGGCTGTATACGCATGGCCGTGTGAGAGCATTTCGAGAAGGAGGGCGGGCCCACTCTACTCTCGGCCATACCAGGGCATTTGGGGGCTGACCAAAGAGAAATACTATTAATGGTCTAGAGATTAAGTGTCCACGCGAGAGATCAAAGGTCCAGGGTACGATTCCCTCGTACAGAGTCGTGGATGAGCACTGCTGAGGAGTCCCACACCAGGATGAGATAGACTTCCAGTGCTTCCAGGTTTTCAATGATGGCCCCCAAATGCCCTGGTACGGCCGAGAGTGAGGAGAGTCCGCTCTCCCTCTCGAAATACTCTCACACGGCCACGCGTATATAGCCTCTTCCAGGGAAGTCCTACTCACTGCCTTCTCGTGGCGGGGGTGTTGTTTACGAAAATGAGAGGACGAAAGGCGAATGTCCGGCGCTTTAACCGGATTCCAAAACAATGGTGCACATGGGCTCCAGTATCCTGCGGGAACAAATGGCGAACGAACCAATTGTTGGTCACCGGCTACCATGGGACTGCATCTCCTTACGATGCTCCACTGCCTTGTGGATCAGACCCTCAGGTTGAAGGCTCGGGGTGTGGCCCCCTAAGAAAACCACCTGCTTCGGTTTGGGCACCCGGGCAGTATCACAGCCCTCACACATATCGAATGAGATTTGTGTGGCGCATATGTATTTGGTGCCTCTTTGTACCATTATCTATGTGTTGAAATAAATAAATAAATAATACCGTTTATCACTATATTACAACTTGGATATATGATAATTTCAAAGGCTTAATATTTAATTCAAATAATTTTGGTCAGAAAAGTGCAGATCAATCCATGGAATCAAACAATTACTATTTTTTACAGCCATGAGCCAATAATCAACTGGGGGACAATAAACATTTATTCCATCTCGTGCGAATCAAATGACATAACAGTGAAGGAACATAATTTACAAAATAAATTGCACGAGTTGCGAGAAACATTATATGAGAAAAACTGGGCGCTTCCTTCACCTACACATAACTGGACAAGCACTAGCAATGAGGAAGAATGATTATACAACTACTGGTAACAATGCACGCAGGTAACCACTGACATGAATTTGACCAGGAAAAGTCAAATTTTCGGGTTGCGGGAACTCCAAGAATGTATAAGAATTACTAGAAGCATAGCGTTCAGAATAATTGGCAATCAGTTTATGAACCACTGAGGGAGAGATCAATCAGTCAGTCACAAAACCAAAGAGTTAACAACAAATACAGTTAACGTGAATTCAAAGGCGAATGAAGAAGACAAGACCGACAAACATAGCCAATAACAGGCAAGATCATTAAAATGAACTGATGCAACACTTATAGAATAGCTAAAAAGCTTACATCTACATAAATTTAGGAGCTGGAGATATTGTCCAGAATGACAATGAAAGCTCCAGAATTAAAGCAGTTAGCTTAGAAAACTCAATACTATCAAAAACAATGAACACTCCTTGTAAGTAGATAATCTTACATTTTTGACATACAAGTTGTAGTTTGAATACTGAGGTTCTATGGTTTCTTGCAAGTAGTTTAATTTTCTGTCACATAGAATATTGTTTATAATTACCAACATTTTCAAATTTATTTACAGAAATATAATGTATAAAAAAACACACAAATAATTCATGTAAATATTAACGCTCTTTTATATCACAAACTTTAACCTAAATCTAAATTTTGGCAGATTATAATAGAATGAACACTCATTGATTAGTTGATATGAAATAATTACCAACGACAACAACGAGGAAACATTGAAAGGAAGAGTAAACAGAGTAGATGAATACAACCACAAACATAAAAGGATACTGAACGATGATTCATTCATTTGTTGTTATTTTATTTATTTATTTATTTGGAAACAAGAGAGGACAATAGATGTTATGTGATAGATAGTGAATGAGATAAGAGGCGGTTAATTATAATAACACTAATAATAAGGATAGTAATAATACTAGTACTTATAAGAGCACTAACTGAAATGTAATTCTCATATCAGAGTAAATATACTTGTAAACTATTCAGTGAATACAAGGAAATAATATAAACAAAAGGCGTGGTTCTTTTTTTTTTAAAAAAACCTAATTTATAGAATGTTTAGAGAAAACAATCAAGAAATTTATTGATTAAGAAAATAAAACAGTTCATGATGACGATTTATTATGCTTTGAATATATATTTATGGACCTTTACTGATAGTCTACAGGTAATTGTACAAAATAGAGTAAACTGAATTATTAGAAGTCATCGAAGTAGTTATAATGATTAAGAGTTCTTTGACATAACTGAATGTTACTGGTTTGATCCCTAGTAAAGTCTTGGAGTGCATACTACTGAGTCCTATACTAGGATCAATTAGATATCCAGTACTCACAAGTTTTCAGTAGGATTATTATAAACTACAAATTAAACATAGCTCCATAAAACTTCTAAGACTAAAATATATTTGTGTATAACGATTAAAACTGAAGGAAAATGTATAGGTTAATAGTTAACTACTGATATAAATAAAGAATCTGTCACGCAGAAACTCAGTTGTGAATTGAATAACTCAATGTCAAGATCTAAGGACTCCAACTGCTCTGGTACGGTCGAGGGTGGGGAGATTCAAGCTCACCTCTCGAAATGCTCTCAAATGGCCACACGTATATAACAATTGTCAGAGAATCCCTGCTTACTGCTTTCTCAGGGAAGGGGTTTTGTTACGAAATTCAGAGGACGAAAAAAGAATGTTTGGCGTAAAAACCGAGTTGGTGAATATGGAGAATCCACGTAGGTGAGTTGGAAAACCCTCATTTCAAACCAATGGTGTACATGAACTCCAGGTCCCTGGGAGAACAAATGGTGTATAAACCAATTGTTGGTCACCTACCATCATGAGACTGCATCTCCTAACGTTGCGTCACTGCCTTGTGGACCTCTAGGCCAAAAACTCGAGTGGCCCTCAAGAAAACCACCTGCTTCGGTCTGGGCACACGGGCAGTATTCCAGCCCTCATACAAACCAAATGACGAATTGTGGAGCATATTTGGTGCCCTCTTGTACTAATTTTTATGTGTTTAAATAAATAAATAGAATAAAATCTATCACTAATTGATTGACTGATTAAGATTTGAATATTTGAAGATATATCGGTTACACAAAAATTATTGTTAGATACGGCTAATGGTAAGTACTAACTGGTATGAAACCTATGTCACGGAATTTTTACAGCTTAATACATAAGTACTAAGAGCAACATTTAAGAAAAAATGATTAATTAAATTAATATCACAAATAATTTCGATTCAGAATTTGAAGAGAACGGTGATGAGAAATAATTTTTTTTAAAATGATTTCATTACTAGACTAGTTCCGTTATTAAAAAAAATAGCTCAGTAAGTTTTGTTTATGAACTGTAAAAAAATGTTATAAGTTGTAGAATATTTAAGTCTGAGCAAGAAGAAAGATGAGTTTTTTCGTAGTCATCATTTGGTAAAGGTATAATGCACTGGCGACCTTGAAAGGCTAACCAGACAATCAGGAAGCGCTACACCTTTATAAGATAAATAACAATAACAGCTTGACTTAGATAAAATATTCTTTACAGTAAGTGAAAAAGATCAAGTTTACATAAATACATACATATTAGGAGTAGCGCTGGTATTCTGAGGTAGGCTTATCACCTAATAGAGTTTATGTCACCACATGAGATTGGTTGTAATGTAATTAGGTTAGGGTTAGGTATTAAGAATAAGGTTGGAGTTTTCAATTGGACTTAGAGATTAGGGTTGAGGCTTTCGTTACTAACTGACATCAGTTATAAAGCAATGCTTTGCTACCCTTCTGTTTACAAATTTGAGAAACTTAGGGTTGAGATTTAGAGAGAGTTAAAAAGGAGAATATTATCTAGGTTCACCAAACACTCTTGACTATGCATTGAATCGAACTAAGCACTTTAATCCATTGCTTGACCAGTGAGTAGTGACCAATGTCATAATATTTGTCTGATCCTTTAATCCTAACTAAATCACTAAGTAGTGGTAATTATTGCCAATCATGGATTAACCTGGGCTTTTACACAACAGGAGTAAAGTTTCACACATGGTACACAGAGTCTGACAGAAGTTGCATTAAATCAGATGGAAGTTAGCTTATACACTACGGTCAAACCCTTTATATAAGGACGTGATAATAATAAGGGCTAATTTGTAATCGGCTAATCGTTGATACATTGATATATTAATCTATATAAAGCATATTATATCACAAATAGTGCCAGGGTATTCTTCTTATTAATTCACATACCTCAGTCAATAAACCACTATCCATAAACACAATCTAATGGTAAAAACTATTGAATGTAGGAACTTTATACAGATACATTTGATGAATATTAATATTTCAATTGAACTGAAAAAATTAAGATTACACGTCAAAGGAGCATCATTTGATACGAAGTACTCATGACTATATAACGTGATTTGGAAAAAGTAATATATATATATATATATATATATATATATATATATATATATATATATATATATATATATATATATATATATATATTCTATAAGCACTTACCCAGCAAACGCAACAATTAATCGTTTAATTAAAGATTCTTCGTCATCAGGAATTGATTTGTTATGAATAAAGAAGTGTTTATTCATAAATATATCGGGAAGACTATTCATAAGTGATTCTTTGATAGTTTCCTCATCCTCATCTTCATGAACGACTGACAACTGATTACGACTCGATGTCATGACTCTATAGGAAATGAAACAAAAAACAAGACGGAGAGGATTATTCGTTAAACATAAAAAAGACAAATACAAAAGATAATGATGGGAAAACTGTTCTAAACTCACACTGGATAAACGTTACCGGAAAATGTTCAGTGATGACTAAGCGTTATTATCAAATCCATTTAGCAAAACTGCATTTTGTTGAGATGATCGACCAATTTGCGTTAGACAATTATTAGAAACCTGGAAGTTTTGAACAGCTGTTACATCTTACTATGACACTCCTCAGAAGCGTGCATCCACAACTCCACTAGGAAGGATCGAAGACGAGAGTTTCAGTCTCGTGAACAAACGCTAAGCATCTAGACCACTGAGACCCTATTCGATGGTATACAAGTATAACTTCAATCAATTCGCGATATTGTGCAACCATCTTCGATTGTCTTTAGTAAGTACTTTACTTACACCCGACACCGTTGAGCTTTACTAGTGACAGCTTATAAATAGGACTCCGAGAATTTCCTTATGAAATCGGTCACCAGTGAACTACATGATAATTATCAATATGAAATTGTACTGATTCATGAATTTAACAGAATTCATCAATCTCTACAACCTTCATATTGCTGAAATTGTATATTTTTTTAGGGAGTTTACTGAGAATTGGCGGAATAGATCAAGTAATCTGCAGAGATATCACACCGAATAACCTTAATGTTCATTCAAAATAGTCAATTGGTCATTACTTTCTATAGAAAAAAATAAAGTGGTTGTTTGAAACCTAACCACTAAAGCAAACCGAATTACGGATCTCTGATATATATGAGAACATGTGAAGCGTAAGTTGTTTGTACGATTTTATATGTACTGGCATTTAAGCTCATACAGATTACGAGTCTCATGTAGGAAGAAACGTGCGTCCTGGATTTCACTGTTTGTCACCATCCATCTCTGCTTAAAAACATCTATAAGACATTTCGACTCAAAATTCATCAAACCATGTTTACTGGTTAATCAACTTTTTATTATTCGATTGAACGTTAGAACCGCGTTGCATTATCCACTTTAGTATACCCAGAAAAATATTAACGCTAGCTCATTTACAGGAAATAGAATAACTCAAAGATAAGTCAGTTACTTCTAAGTTACATAGATGGAATCTAGTGTAAACTGAAATGTTGATTATGTGAATCTTTGAGGTTTATTGCAAATACAATATTCATTTGTGCTTGAAAAGTAAACTAACGATTAAATCCATAATTTGTAAAATATTTTTATTGTTGACTTAAGTCAGTTGGGGGGCTATTTCGAAAAATGGTAGGCACTGAACTGCTTTGTTTAGTCTCAGCTTGGATTTCCTCAAAAGGGAAAAAGACTGTCTAATTATCTAGTGATAATCAATAGTTCTTAATGAAAACCGACTTTAAAAAATTTCTGCAACATGATGTAACTTCTATTAGTATTGGTGTGTGTGATAAAGAGAAATCGATCGAAAAAGTAGATTCATTCGAAACACAGATATATGAACGAATGTTCTTTCCAATTGCTTCTTTTCAGGTCCTATAGTTATGTTAATAATACAACAAGTGGTCAGGTTTAAGGTAAATATATCATTGAAAATTATACTATGTGAATTTAGGGTTGTTTGCAAAATTAAATAAGATTGTTAGTGAGCGCTGCTGAGAAGTTACATACTAGGACGAAACGACCGTCTAATGTTTCCAGGTTTTTAACGATGATCTAGCTCAAATCACCTTATGATTTAAACCTTGAAAATATGAATAGGTTTATATCCTAAATGAAATTGTAAGATTAATGATCAGAATAAATAGGGGTAACACAGGAATGCGAAAAATAGCAATATAATTACAAATCAAAATAAACATTTGGTCAAGGATTATGTAATATATCGAATAAGATGAATCAGATAAGAAATCGTAGATGGGGTTAAGTAATAAATAACATAATAGGAATTTTTTTCCTTAGATTTATTTAGTTAAATATATTTATCTGACTTGCTGACTCTTGTCAGTGCATAACAAGTACATAAACTTATCAAGTATTACACTATTGAAAATGTTTATAGTAATATTAATAATATGAATAAATGTGCGTTTTTAAAATCTTATAATGATCATATATAGAATGAAATATAAAATAAACATAAAGCATAGTTATATTTTTTTATATGGAGCCATAATAGGATATAGTTTACAATGTAGATTTTGTTTACAATATTCTAGTTAATGAAATAAACAATTCCTTTCAGAATTCTACATACAGAACAATTCATGAATATGATGATATTTGTAATCAACTGAGTTAAGAGAAAAAAAAGAAGAAACAATCATGAATTTTACATAATACAAAAATTTCTAACTTTATTCAATTTAGTAAATATAAACTGTAGAAAGTTAACATAATGATTTGAAAATTGATAGTTCGTTATGAAGCTTAAAGATTTTTCGTTTGTTTGTTTGCTGGTAGATGAAACAGCTGATCGATATGTTTCCCACTTTTTGAAATGGTTATTTAAACAAAATCAACCTGTGATGTGAAACTATAATTTAGACTTATTTTGGTCTATTTTATACAACGGAGATAAAACTGTATAGACAAACTGGTAGAAAGATATAGACAAGGTGAGATTTTGGTAACTTGTTAAAATAAATACTAAATACTCATTTTTTCACTATTTTTAAATATCTTGGTAATATTACCATTTGACTAAAGAAAATAAAGTAGACAAAAGAGGGATAGGAACGAAATGTAATAGATGTTTCCCCCTAGCAATCAAGAAATTCCACTAACTGATAGGTGTATAATTAAAATCGTTTTGGTTCATATTTGTGACAATCTAAGTCACATATTAGGTATTATCAATTAGAATGAACAATGAAAAGATGATAATTATGAATCATAAAAGAAACGAAATCTCAATTTTTGAGTAGTTCAAAGAAAATTAAGCTAAAAATTATTCAACTCACCAGTTGGCTCTAAAAATTTATTTACAAGTATTTCCACTTATATTTAGCTAAGTTAAATAAACAAAAAAATGAGTTTTTTTTGCAGAAGTTACTTAATTGAATAATTTCTATGTGCCAACAAATAACAGACCTCCTTGTGTGAATTTTTAAAATTGTTAGCCGGAAGTTATGGACAGTGAACTTTAGCAACTGGTTAATCAAACAATTTTAGTTAGGAAAAATCTGAAATTTTAATTTTAGATTATTGGATCACAACTAAATGGTTTACCGTATCGTGTCCACCCTGAGGCTTCAAGATGATAGAGTTTGATTTAAGATAAGGGATAAAAAGTTTTTTACTATTGAATGAAATAGCTGTTCAGTATTTTCCAGGTTTTCAATGATACGCAATATGTTATTAATAAGATGTCAACTATCTTCAAGTTATAAATTTCGTTAAAAATAAAACATAACCATGTATTCCGAGAAAATACAATATTTTTGAGATTGTAAACGGTGACTTTTAATGTGCAGTTACTTAACATCACGATATGACGTGCGAACTTATAACCTAGGCAGGGACAGAATCCAGAACTCCTAAGTCGAGGATCGCGTTAGACTGAAACTATTAATCGGCATTTAATGGACTACATTGTTAAACTTAGTCAATTTGTAATAAAAATTTAGTGTTCTTCAATAGTCAATAGTTTTTATGCTGAATTAAGTCCCTTATTAGAAACACATCAAGGATTCAACACAATTAGTCATGAATTTTTATTTGATTTTATAAGTTGTGCGACATTATTGGATCAAATTCAGGAGAGAAGCTCTGGTAAATAACAAATCTTAAAAACGTTTTCTAATCAACCAGTTTTAGGATGACAGTAAATAAATATCTATTTACCGTAAATAGGAAGTGAAACTTGGTTACAGTCGTTTTCATATTGTAAGGAAAATGTATTAGGTAAGTTTCTATTTTCAAACGTTTGGAACTTTATGTTTTATTCACAGTATACAATAGAAAATAGACACAAGTTAACTAAAAAAAATTATAATATATGTTAGAAATATCTTATGTAATACAAACTGGGAGGTAAATGTTAACGGTTCATAGAATAATACTATAGGTAACAACATTTATTGAAATAACTATTTGGAATTGTAACTTTTTAAATGAAAATTTTCTGAAGATTTGATCATTTAACTTAATTACATTACATGTGATAGATAAATAGATAAAGGTTCTACGGGAAGGATAATTTCTATGAATTTTAGAAGTAAAAATATTTGATAATGTAAAACAACTCATCTTACAATAAAATATTTATCACATCAAACTTTTCATTATAGGCAAAAACGATTAGAAGGGTTTCTTAATATGAAACAATACACTGTGGTGGGGTTTATTTGAAACCATATATATATATATATATATATATATATATATATATATATATATATATATATATATATATATATATATATATATATATATATATATATAATTGATTCAAATGGAAAATGAAGTAGCTATTCAGCTCTAGTGAACAAACCTCATGTGATCAGCATTATGAAAACGAGCTGCCACCAATACTTGGAAAAATACATTAACAGTTAACCCCTGAAGATCGTTTTTGGAGCAGTGTGATGCAAAAAAGTCGACCTGATAAAAGCCACAAAGCAAATTTTCTGTTATGCTAATCTGACTACTTAAATGCATTTGTAAGTAAACGTTAAACCTTTCTTGAAGCTTGGCTTCAGTGAGGATCATATTACGCTGAGGTATATTACACAACAACTTATCAATCTAGCTAGCATTTGTTCATATTTTTAAACATGGACCAAGCATCTAAAGTTAAAAATTACAATTTAACATAACTCATTTTGTGATCCCAAAATACACACAAACATGTTTTAAATATAACACTAAATGTCTAAAATCAGTGATGTTTCACAATCATAAAGTAGTCGGGGAATAAACTGAACTTTTAGTGTTTCATTCAGCGGTTGGGTTTCATATGAGGAGACGAATGTAACTAATGCATTTTCTCGAAGTAATTTTAAGAAATGAAAACTTCAATTCTTTAATTTCGCTAATTCACTTCATTTATTTACCACCTAGAAACGATATTTATTATTAAAAACACATGCACACACTTTATGTCTTGTTATCACACATCCCTGGGTATATTCTACAGAAGTTAATCAATTTTCTGTTAGATAATGGAAACGATGTTCACATTTCAAAATCCTTCAAAATAATCAACTAGCAAACAACTGCGAATGTATTACGTTTTGCCGAAGTCACTAATATTAAAACGTTATTCGATAATTTTGTTGTTTGATTATATTTTTCTTGAAAAAGCTTGAACCAGATTGCCAGGCGAAACGTTGGATTTGCTTCAAATTCTTTCGCTGAGATTTTACAAATACATTCTTCCTCTTTAATGACTCACATTAACTCGGCGCCCAAATATTGTGAAACTATTCGTTTAAATTTAGACGAAAGTTTTTATTTGTTATTCTTGTACAGCTTAGATGTTTTCCGTTTTCAACATTTAACTGGATGACATCTTATTTCATAATTTTAGTTATAAATTGCTTTTATAAATACAATTTTTCCCATCGATAAATTTGACTAAAACCAGAACAATCAACGTAGCAAAACAACATGAATTCATTAAATCTCGTGATGTCTCATCAACAACTTACAACTAGACATAATAGTATGAATCATTAACAATCAGTGTACATAGTTTATACCATAATAGTGAAAGTGATCTCAGCATTGGAGGTTAATGAAAAAAGCATTTTCGTACCTATTAATTCATTTTATTATTAAAATAAGAAAGGTTGGTTCAACGAAGAGTTCTCTTTTCGGTGAATTCATTTTCACAGCTGTACAATCGCAAATATGTATACTTATTTTTCAGAATGATAACAATTACAATAATAGTGATGATCAACTGTAAAACATGGTAACAGTGAGGTAGAAAAAGCAAAGGTATAAAAAAATTTTAACCAGGGAAACTAATAATAGTTTTATTGTTAAGGGCTTAAATATTCATCAAAATATATAGAGAAATTACAATTGAGAAAGGATGGCTCAGCATGATAAGATAAAATGTTAGAATTGAGATGAAATGTAGTCAGGAGGATCATAAAGACAGAAATAAATCAGTTGGGGATAGAAGGTCTATGTTTAACAGAATTTTATTATCACTATTATTGTAATTATTATCATCCTGAAAAGATATATATATATATATATATATATGATTGTACAACTGTGAAAATGAATTCACTGAAAAGAGAACTCTTTACTGAGCCAATCTTCTTTATTTTATGTTTCAATGAGTATATTCCATATGTTATTGTTGTGACTTATAAGATCGATTTTTCATTTTCAGAGATGTCTTTATGAACTTTTCATATTATTTAACATTAAGAAATTCATATATCCATAAAACGTTGTCATAAGTACTAAGTTCAACTTTCATTCAGATGAAAATCCACACATATCACAAGATTGCGTGTAATATGCAACTTTTTCGAACTAATTGCATCAAGTATATCTAGTTGAAACGAATGCTTTTTGATAATGATCTAGGTTACGGATTAATGTACTATGGTGGAAGATATGTGTATTAATTACAGCATTAGGAAAAGTATGATACCTAATTTAATGTTCAATACATGATCTACTACAATTAATGAATTTTATGGACGTTCAAAAGTAAAGAATGATAAATACTTTGGCATAAATAGAGTTATATATTTTTATCGTTATTTAATAATCATACAAATGAATGGAAGGTTAAGTGATCTCTAACTAAATGAACACGTTACTGTAGTGATAATCGATTGATTTGAAGACGGAAGAACTGATTTAATAACCGTAAAAAAAAATAATAATGCAAATCGTTTGATCGTTGATCGAAGCAAGACAAGTATTTTCCATAAATAACCAAATAAACAACGTGTACAACTCTTTCTTCATAATTCTCAATCTAACTTATCTTAAATACATGTATTATGTATTAATATCATCATACACTTCGCTCAACCTCAACGGTGTATAGTATAGTTAAGTTCAATCCTTAAATTATTTCCAGAGTGAATTCAGGATACAGAAGTAAACGACTTCGATGCCATAAGCATTTGGGTTTTTAAATGAAAAAAATGAAATTGAAAATGTTAATTAATGTGAAATCATTTTTAAAGAAAAAGGAACACGTTTTTCCCGTAGAAAAAAGTCTACAAACCTTTGAATTTCATCATCTGTATTTTCATCTTCTGGATCGTTAGCAGTCACTGGAAATAATAATAAAAATCATGAACGATGATAATTAATATGGGTGTAGATGGAAGAGATGTTTTCAACAAGTATAACTTAGCAGACAATTACTAGTTTATAAACTCGATTTGAAGCCGTTTTTGATTCAGTTTAATATATCATTGGTCTGCCGAAATCGAAGTAGTTGGAATAAATTTCGAGCTTCATATATAATGGTAGAAATTTAAATGATTTAAGCACCCTGTCACCATTCTCCACTTAGCCAGTTACAAACGACGTAGAACCTGGGGTGAATGGTCATCAGTTCAAGTTGCCATATTTACTATTAACACGATGAGACAAAACTAACAGGATAAAAATTAAAACAATCGAAATAATAGGAAGAACACTGGATAAGACAAATAAAACCAAAGAAAAAGATGCATGATGTAATATTGAAGCTGAAGATTTAGCAGAAAAAAGAATGAGTAACTGGATTATTAAAGAAGTAGTTCAGAGATGAATAGGGTAATTATAATACTTAAAGGTATCAGTTAATTTCCGCTTGTAATGCTCGTAACTTAATGGGAATATCGAGCACTCCGCATAGGACGGACATATGCCAAATAGAGACTGATCAGCTGCAGTCTATAAAATCAGTGGGAAGATTCAAGCAACTAATATAAATGAATTACACTTCAGCCCATCGCACAAGCCTGTGGCTATCTGCGCTCATCAGCTAAGTGAATAACACGATGGCGCTTGAAGTGAATGGTACTGGGTTCGAGTCCCGGGGTGAACATCAACTCGGGTGTAGAAACATCCAGCTGACAAGTCCCTTGTTTGCTACTATCGATCTATCTTAACATATTAACAAAATTGATATATTATGCGGAGTAATATAACTGTTAAAAAGGTGAATGTAAACGTTAGGGAAGTAAGGGTAAGGTGGTGAGTGTTGGGAATAAGGAGAATAAGAGCAGTTCGGAAAAAGGTGGCAGGAACAGCTGTAAAAAATTCTTTTGAACACGAAGATTGAGTTTATTAAGATGGGTGCAGGAGGCTTCATGCATATAAAATAGACCAATATATAAACCATGTGGCAATCTAGATGAGACGGAATTTTTAATCACATTCAATTGTTCAGAACTCCAGTCGTGTATCGAAGTAATTGTCCATACAAGGGGGAATCGAACTGATGGTTGCCCATAGAGAAAGCAAGTTAAGGCAGTATATCATTTCTGGCTGTGAGGATGGGACGATTGTGGGATAGTTTGTAGCTTAGATACAGGAACGTTATTTTGGAGCCTTTTCAAAAAAAAATTGTTATTATTTAACTGGGAATGCTGTTTATGAACTCGAGTTTCAAGAACAATGATCTCTTTGAAATGGTTATCGAGTTTAGCTTTGTATCAGCCTTGTTTATATGCTTTTTCACAAATTTCATTGGATGTCCATTCAAAGATAATGGTTGGGTCTTTTACTATTTTATTCTTAACCAAACTACACTATCATTTCGTTTTTCACTTAAGATGAACGTAATTGATGAATGAATACTGTCAGGTTTTTTACAGTATTCACAAATATAAAGTAGAATGGTAATATATTTCATATAATTTATTCCAAAAAGATAACTAGTTATGTATGGAACGAACAATCCTTACTAGCTCAGTCGATGTAATTATTGGATAAATTATAAATAAACATTTAAACACAGCAAAAACGGGGTTCGCAGAATAAAATGAATTCATTCTATTTCACGACTTCTCATTAGCTGCAAATAACAATCGTGGATGCGCACTGCTGAGGAGTCCTGTACTAGGACGAAACGGCCGTCCAGTGCTTCCAGGTTTTCCATGGTGGTCTAGCTTCAATTGACTCATGATTTCAATCAGTGAAATTTAAAATTAGTATCAGAAGGGGTTTGTGGAGATTGTAGTAATTTCAATAGTTATATTTATGTTAGTAATTTTAATTATTAACAAATGTTTAGCATACATTATTCTGTGAAGTTCAGATAAATGTTCGAAAAGTAATCATAATTATAATAGTTAGAAGAATAGGGATACAAAGTGTATGAATAAACATAATCAAGATCGATGTTTATTTTTATATGTTGGGAAGTGATGATTAAGAGGTTATATAAGGGTAATGAAATTAATAAGTGATTGGGTAATCACTAAACATGATAAAATAAACAAATATGTGAACATCAATTAGATTATGTTAGAGATGAATATCAGAAGACGAAAGAACAATAAAATAATAGAAGGTTAGGGGTAAACTTGAAAAAAAATTAAGATCAACAAGGGTTATTAGACAAATATCCAATCACCATGATAAGGAAAGGCTAACCAAACTTTCCTTCTATATACATAGGTCAGGTCGGAAAACGTTTGATAGCGATCACCACTGCAAAACGGAGTGAGATTGATGTTTCTTTTCTATTGATTTTTTGAATGAATTCATTTTATTCTGCGAACCATATTGTTCTTGATCTGTTTAAATTTATCAAGAGATCTGGTCGTATGAATAAATAAATAAATAAAGAGTTTGGAATTTGAAGACAGTAACCTTTATTGAATCAAAGCATCGGGACAGCTGTTTAGTCAGTGAAGTAGTTGTACAAAAGACATTTTGGATACATAACTACATCAATTCTCTTTAAGCCTTATAAATCAAGCAATTTACTGACTTGAGTAATAAACAAATCATGAAACAAGAATTCACTTCGATTTGCCTCCAAATGCCCTGGTAGGGAGAGTCAGCTTTTCCTCTCGAAATGCTCTCACATGGCCACGCGTATACAGCCGCTGCCAAGGAAGTCCTACTCACTGGCTTGTGTTGTTTACGAAATTTGAGAGGACCAAAAGAGAATGTTTGGCATGTAAACCAAGTTGGTGGATATGAAGGATCCACCTGGAAGAGTTGGAAAACTCTGATTGCAAACTAATAATGCACACGGGCTTTATGATCCTGAAGGAACAAATGGCGTGTGAACCAATAATTGGTCACGGGCTATAATGCGAATGCATCTTCTGACGTTGCTCCACTGCCTTATGGATTAGACCTTTGGGTCGACAGCTCCCGGTGTGGCCCCCTAAGAAAACCACTTGCTTCGATTTGGGCACTCGGGCAGTATCACAGCCAACACACAAATTAAATGACTTGTGTGGTGCATACGTATTTGGTGCCCCTTTGTACCAATATTTATGTGTTCAGATAAATAAGTAAATGTACAGAGTTTTATACTGAAGCACATTTATACTTCCGTCATGGTAAAATTTAATATATTGAACATCGATCGATGATATCTAATAAGGCATGTAAATAAGCATCTACAAAGTTCTCTGCATACTCAAAATCGAATGTGATGTCAGTTTGACAGGTTCTTTCCTATCTTCGTTTATTAATCGTAAAACAAACTAAGACAATAAATAAAATCTATCTGCAATACATTTTTTGTGTGACTTCGCTTTTTCGCATTTTTTGTAATTGGATATAATCTCTTATTATTCAATTAAGCGATCATCAACAGATCAGAAACAAACGGTAAAGTTAGAGAAGCCAGTCTCAAGTAACCTGATAGAATTACTTATATCATTTTAGTCGTAAACAATGTTATGTAAAATGTTGACTAGGTAAAACGAAAAACCTATTTGGAAGAATATGACTGATTGAAATACAACGTACTAATGTGCAACACTTCAATGATAATTCTCAGAGTGATTGGAAGAAACAGAAGAAAAATCCTATAAAGAATACATAGTTATGGATCGAATTGCGCAACTGATTTTCAGTTTAAACAAGAAAGTGAAAACATATAATCAGACAATGACAGAAATAGAATAGAAATATGATTTTAAAGAAAGCTGAAAAATAAACGAAACAGCTCAAAAGAATCATCATTTCATTAATGTTGCCACAGAAAGATCCCACATCATTTTGTGGAAGAGGTAATATAAAACCTAAAAAAATACATCTTAATTGGCTGGAGATTGAGTGACCTACAAAATGATTACCTCTAATTGCTTATGACATTTCTTCATGTTTATTTTGCATATAAGCATCTGTGGGGACGACCCACGGTGAACTCAAGAAAGCTCAGAAAGAACCGAAGACATTTAATTTGATCATCTTTTTAAAGAACATTTCAGAATCTCGACGTGTAGCTCCCCGATTGGACAAATGCTAAAAACCACTGCATACAGAGTGGATGACTGTAATGATGATTTCGTTTAAACTAAAAGCTATAAATACCTGAGTGTTTTGTATCATATATGATACTACTTGAAATAAGATCCCTTCCTACTTGTCTTTTGTCTTCTAACATCCAACTTGAAGGGTTCTAGAGTCCGAGTGCTTAAGTTGTATGCGGTATAGCAAAAATTCTAGTTTTAGATATAACAACATGGTACTTTATTACATAGGAAACCTACTTTTCTGACTAGTGGTCTTATATTTGATTTAAGATTAATCAGTAATTTCAGTCAATAAATCGCTATCGTGAGCAGTATTCTTTTAATTAATTTTACGATTAAAGAATTGTTTATCAACCCACTGAATCATTAACATTCTCCTTCGTGACAATGACAATAGGGATAAAAATTGATTGTGAAAAATTTCAATTATTACAAGATGAGTGGATATCTCATATGTATCAAATTGATGTTATCAGAGATCGAACTTAACAAAATAATCATAGATAAGTCAATATCTGAACATCATTCACAAACCATTATCGGAAAATTCAATGCCATACAGAATAAAATATAACACAGATAGAAATCACAACTCATACAACAATACAGTGGTCGCAAACAGCCATACAACGAAGTCAATGAACAGTCATGAAGCTACTGCCAATTCAGATTCAGACATTGGAGCCAGAATTTACTGAAAGTTATTCGATTTCAAGTTCAGAACCTCCAATTGTAGTTACACAATATCAAGTCGAGTCAACAGCACATAAACCAGACCAATCCCAATAAACTATGGATCAAGCAGTCTCATTAGAGCCATTGATATCTTCAGTTTCAGCAATAAAACACACTTTAGGAGCTTGTATTGTTATAAACCAAATCGTGCGACAAGAGATGAATTTAAAGAAGAGAGAGTAGATGAAAGGAAATATCGTACATTTGATGCTATAAACTATTAGATGAAATCATTTTGCAGGTCATATACTCTCCAATCAATTAGGACTAATTCTTGGTTGTCGTATCAGTTAACAAGTGTGGGGACAAGCAGAAAAATAACCAGTAGCCATTCTAAGTGTTTGGAGTAAAATTAGTACGATTTAAGGAAAATCGTGGTATCGAAGTTAGTTCTTTCTTTAAATTCCTACCGTAGTACCAGGACAGGTGTACATTTAAACAAAACTTGACAGTAAACTGATTTCCCAAAGTTATGTTTCGACAATATGAAATGTTCCCAGAATTCAAAATTGGTCTGGATAAAATCGATGCATATGTTTATGAAATAATTATATAAACCCATAGTGCATAACCAATACATGTAGTGGTTAATTCAACTATGTTCTTGTACATACAGTAAGTTTTTTACACTGTCGACATTAAGACGAAGGTAATTATTTCAGAACGTATGATTCACGCTATAATCAAAAGCCAAATACAATAGAGTATATGTATAGTATTAGATTGTACAAAATTCATAACAGGAGTTTGATGATATAGTGCGTATTTTGAAACTTATCAAAAAAGTATTCATTGACTCTTGATAATCAATAGAGTATCATTTTTTACAAAATGGCAAAAATCTCTTATAAGTTTAATTACCGGTTTTTTTGGCATTAGAACCATCGTTAGTAGTGGAGCGGGGTCGTTTTTGTAGGTTCTTACTGTTAGTTTTTGATCTACGCTTTCTTCTTAGATTCGATTCATCAGATAAGTCCTCATCACTTCCTTCTTCTTCATTATCTTCGTCTTCGTCGGTCTCCTGGAATTCGTCATCGTCGTCATCATTATCCGCTTCTTCATCAGAAGAACCTGGTTGCCAGTCGCCATCATCTGATTTTTTCTTTCCTCCTGAAAACAGAAATACTTATTAAACTAGAATTTTAAAATCGAGAAGTGAAGTTCTAGAGCAACTCAGGTTTTTTTAAAACTTTTATCACCGATTACTGAGTGTTAAAGAACGCTTGTATTTGAGGTTGATTTACAAAAATGCCTAAAGAGGTTTGTTGAGTATTAAAAACACTACTGTCAAGTAAAGCACTGTCTCATTCGAGAATAAAAACTTCAGGAAGAATCTAACTGAACATAAGATGCTTAATAAATCGAATCCATAAATTTTTAGGTAGATTGTTATTAAAGAGATTATAGATGCTTTCCGTTTGTGAACTAATCTACGCTGGATGTATGGTGCTGTTACTTATGTTACAGACAATAGAAACTACATTTAGTGAATCGAATAATAATAACCGAATTCATTTTTACTTCCCCTCCAACTCGATTGCTTTCATAAAACTTCGCTTGGAAGTCTACGCATTAAGTGCTATGCGATTCTCCATATATGGGATGAGTGGATGTTTTCAAATGTACATACTTTAGTTAAATATCACATCATATTAAAATTTGGAACAATGTGTCCAATTTAAATGTCAAATATAATATTATTATTTTATATAATGAGAATACATATTTGTAGGATTTCTATAAAATAATGTGTAGATGATATCCATACAAATTTGACATAAGCAAACTTGATTGAGATCACACACAAAAATTTAGACAACCATTGAAAACCTGGAGAGACTGAACGATCGTTCCGGCTTAGTATGAGACCCCTTCGCAGTGCACATCAAACAGCCCCGAAATCAGGAATCGAACACAATATCTATTGAGCAAACGTATAAACTCTAGACCACAGAGCCAAGATACAATGGTCTATAATATAACCCCCTGATGATAATCGGAGATAGTCGAGGAATGTTGCAGATTAACTGAAGTTAGACTTGTACACCATTTAACCACGGATCAATATTTTAAATGTTAGGGATTAGCGCCAGACCGCAAATTCTAGATTCGACCCGTGGTTGCGAGGCTGTGGATCTGCATTGTAGAGGATTTCCATACTAAGACGAATCTTCTGTTCCAGGTTTTCAATCGTTGTTTAACTAAGATAGGTTCATGATCATAATAAAATTCGGCAAATCTCCACAATTGAGTACTGACATACAAATTTGTTTCAGATAGTGTAGTTATGCTAAATGATCATGAATTTCTAACACGATAGTACAGACAACGAGGGCTTTATTATTTTTGCAGTGTATGTTCGAAGAAAATATTACCTTAAGAGACACTTTTAACGTGTTAATTGTTCTTTTTTTATTTTGTTGGTTGATATCCTTATAAATTAAAGACTATTAGATATATATTTTAACAACACTTCGAACTCATTGGGAATATTCTTATCTAATAAATCAAGGGGTATGATCAAAATCTAATTTTTTTCTAAAATACTAGCTTATAATACAATGAATTATATCGTTGGCACTAATTCAGTTCATTGAAATACAGTATGAACTCATTCTTGGACGATTGATGTCTATTTATATTATCAGATAGACAAAATAGACAAATCATGACATTAAATATCATGAAAAGACGTAACTAGGATGTAAGTGTTGTTGGATATGTCAGTTGTAATGAATTAGTACATTTTGATTAACACTTTACAGTAAAACCGATTTGCTAAGCTTGACTGACAAAATGTAAGAAATATAATACGACAACTAAATTAAATAACTCAGATTTTAAGTCAGGTTTGTGATTTGGAAGGAGAATTAAATAATTTAGATGCGAAGTAGATCAATTGCAGTGAATATCTAACGGAGGTTAGTACCAGTATGATTAGAAGCAATAGAATAATTTAAGTATAAAGAAAGTATCTACTTACAAGTATTGAGAGTAGTTATTATCTTTAGATGTCATTAAAATTTAAAATAAATTTTGCAGTCCTATAGATTTCTTACCTGATTACATAATTCAATTAGTCGACTATCAACTATTAATTTACTCTACATAAAGTGTAAGTAACTTTTGATGTGATAATGTATTGATACATAAAATACTAAGTAGTTTAGTAAGCAGTGAGTAACAAATCAAAAAGACGGTTTATAATAATAATAGTAATAATAATAAATAATTTCTCATTTTAGAGAAAGAAAATATTATACCGTTACGTATACATTGACTCTAAGTTAACAGGTAACGAATGTGAACACTGATCAACCAAGCAGAAGTATTATGAACGCTTAGCAAACAAAGAATGGTTGAAGGTAGACATTAACATTGTTGGATCCTGGCTCAGTGGTCCAGAGGTTGAAGGTCCTGAGTTCGAATCCCGTGTGCGGGATCGTGGATGTGCACTGCTGGGGAGTCTCATTCTAGGACGAACCTGCCACCTGGTGCTTCCAGGTTTTCAATGGTGGTCTAACATTGATCGGTTCATGATCTCAATTACGATAAAGAGATGTCGGATAACCGAGCAAATGTACTTCAATGCAACTAATGAGTTGCATACATGAATGTGTGCAAATATTTACTAATAAGCTTTCGTGAAAATTTCAAAGATCATAAAACAATATATGACAACTTACGTAGTCTAAGATTAGTTTTATGAACTGATGATCTGTGATAAAAATTAGGAAATGGATAGAAAGAAAAAATGCATGAAAAATATGTGTACAAAACATGATAAGTTTTAAAACAACATCTAACTGCGCATTTTTGCAAATGTAATACAACCCATTTGTTGATGATTGGAGCAAACAATATAACCAGATAAAATTGTCGATGAAAAAGAGTAAAATTACTAAGCGGCTGAACGTAAACGAGAAGAAGCTTTTAATTTATATCTCATTTTATTTGGCGTTTGTTAATAATTTCAAGGAAAATTATGCTACCCGAGGGAAATGTCACTATCTACTCATTTGGATAGTTTGAGGTGCATGCTACTTATGTCTGTTGACATAAGTAGTATGTAACACCAGTTGGAAGTAGAAAACTGGGCATCAGAAGGCTATGAAGGTTGACTTGAAGGGGACAAGAACGGAATTAGAAAAGAATTGTGAGTCGAAATGATCATACAGAATGTGGAAGAAAATAATGGAAATTTGCAAATGAAGTATTTAGTGAATGGTTCTTATATTTTACCATAATAATGTGTAATTTAGTATTAAGGTGGATTGGTTGTCCCCCAAACTGAGTTCTCGTTCATTACAGGTTTCCTTTGCCCGTATTTGTGAAATATCTTTGGAAATAACTGAGAAACTACGTTTTCATTGTCGTTCAGCTTGAAAATCATGGCAAATAATCTACCTAAGGTACTTGTAAGGCATGGTCGATAAACAAACCTACCAATGACAACATTAAATACCCACCACAATATTGACTTTTTTCGACTTTGTATGACTATGCCTAGTTTGTTCACTAATCATAATCTTTTATTTAATAGTTGAATTCATGAGTCAATTGAAGCTAGACCACCATGGAAAACCTGGAAGCACCGGACGGCCATTTCGTCCCAGTATGACTCATGAATCCAACTAATAAATTAATATAATATCCATAATCCCCTCTCTGATTATAATCTTTTATGTTTGTCATAAATGATATTACCTTTTTTGACTCATTTTTCCTATCCTTTAGTTACTGTACAGTATGTTATATATTTCGTTCTTTTTACCTGTTTAATAGACTGTTTTTTTAATATACCAACGGTGTCAGTTCACCTTTTAGAAACAAACAAGGTTTATCAAGCCAAATAGCTTATTTGTTTTGACTGGATAAATTAGGACTCTGCTTGACAGTCTGGAGATTAGTATAGAATCGCGTCTGTAGGAAATCACTTTCTATGTTACTGAAAAACCTATTTCAACGATCACACACACAATATTCTGTCTCTTGAGATTTGATTACTGAGAAATAAAGTGGGTGGAAAGAGGAAGAAAATAATGCAAGTAAGTGGAATCATACGACTTTGTGTGTTGGTATATGATAGTCAATAGTAATAATCAGCAGTGTGATTTAGAATGTTTGGATCATTTCCAATTTTAGTCATTTGTTGTTATACACCAAGTACAGACTCGTGCACGGGGGTATGAGACATGCTTTATGTCTTCCAGATAGTGACACTATTCAGGTGCTCAAACCAAATTAGGTGAACCGGGACTTGAGCCTGTGACCTGATGGTTGGAAGTGGAATACCTGACACCCAGCCACTGCTCCACTTCAATCGTGGAAGCGTAATGAATTATAATCAGTATAAACGATAATATTTCGAATCCACTTCAAAGGAAAATATTGAATAGCATACGCATAAACTTACTTGGATTTCGGAGACTGATCATCGTCATCATCATCATCATCATTTAAAGACTGATTTAATGTAGAAGATAGAGTTGCAGTATTTGGTGGACTAGGTGCACGTCCAACTCTATAGCTACGCCAAGGTACATTACTTTTCGTTTCGTAACATTGTGTAATCCATTTATCGGAAACAATTATACCTTTACCTTTAACTAGATTGAATTTAGGTGTGTTTGGAAATGCACAGCTATAAAGATATGAAGTGAGGTTAAAGAGAGAAAAGAGATAAATGAAATCAGTAATAGAATAGCATATCTTTCAACTACAATCATTGTAATACAGATAAACAAAATCAATCATATAATCATTATTGTCAAAGAATAATTATATTACTTTAGATAGTGTTAGTTTCTTTGAGATGGATGCCTTAATTAAGAAGCTTTTATTACCGTTTCAAGCAAAATCACACAAACCCCTATTTCAAGATGAGACCATTCTGATTTATCTACAAGTACTAAAACAGACTATTTCCTCATCTTTATGCATCTTTGAGTTTCTGATTACTGTATTTTTTTAGTTGATGATCTATGGCCAAATAATTGACTGATCTCCTCCGAATGGGTTAGTAACAATTTACTATCGAATCTGTATTCATGGATTTCTACCCAAGTGAAATAAGTGATGGGACACCGTGTCGTTTAGTTGCTAATATATGTTCGTATATGCATACATGAAAGGGTCATTCACCTAGTCTAATTAAATGTTTCTCACATTTGCCAAAACCTGTTTTATAAATGATATTGTATTCATCTTTCATTAGTGTTATGTTTTCTGACTTGCATAAAACAGAATCAAGTGACTATGTTTGCTTGTGAGTAACAGAATTTAAAGTGCCGAAATTCTGGATTACAGAAATTCCAAGAATGTCAAGGAATGTCTAGAAACATACCTCTCACGTCAATTGGGATTCAAAAACACACCAATACAAATCCAATTAATCGATTCAGTCACCTATGTGAACAAGATGTTCTTTCTTACACAAAAATATATTAGTAAATCAATTCGTACACGTAAACATTGGTACAAGGAGGCACCAAATACATATGCGCCACACAAACCATTCGATTTGTGTGAGGGCTGTGATACTGCCCGGGTGCCCAAACCAAAGCAGGTGGTTTTCTTAGATGGCCACACCCAGAACCTTTGACCTAAAGGTCTGACCCACAAGACAGTGGAGCATCGTAAGGAGATGCAGTCCCATGGTAGCCGGTGACCAACAATTGTTCCCACAGGATACTTGAACCCATGTGCACCATTGGTTTGGAATGAGGGTTTTCCAACTCCCCTAGGTGGACTCTCCATGTCCATCAACTCTGTTAAAGCGCCGGACATTCGCTTTTCGTGCTCTCAATTTCGTAAACAACACCACCGCCACGAGAAGGCAGTGAGTAGGACTTCCCTGGCAGAGACTGTATACGCGTGGCCGTGTGAGAGCATTTCGAGAGGGGCCGGGCCCACTCCACCCTCGGTCATACCAAGGCATTTGGGGACAATTCGTACACAAACTTTTTGGATCTACAAGGAAGTATGAATCACCTGAATCTGGATAAGTTCAGATATTAGTAAATTTAACTAACCCCATAAAATTATAGATTTGAAAGTTGATAAATTTAATGAAATATTAACCCAGGAAAGGATGCAGAAAACTTTTTACATTATAGAAAGTAGGAGAACATCAGTGAAATTACAGTCAGGCATACCATTTTTAATCTGATAGCTGATAAGTGTGAAATATCTCTTGGAATAGCTGTCGAATATACACAAACGTCTGATGATTATCACTAACTCTTATTCTTAATCTCCAAAATCTTCTATCCTAAACCATTCTATATGGTCTTTGGACAGACTACTGGAAAGTTTATATTTAAATAGGTTAGTTTGACGACGTAAATGGCTAAACAATTATCAGTTAAGGAAATTTAACTGAGTTATATTACAGAAAATTTCTGCTGTTGTGTAAGAATTTTTTATATTGTAGTTCAGCAGAACAATTTGAAAGAAATTTAACAAGGATATGTGAATAAATTTATTGAAGTACAAATGCTTGAAGAATGAAGAATACATATTTGACTTACATCAAATGTGTACAGTCTGGACCCCAATCTTGTCTGTACTTGGCACCAAGCTCCAGGGCTTTATCTCTGATTTGACTTCTTAAGGGATTTTGATAACCGCTTAAAGTCAGAATAACATTTGATAAAGGTTTTTGGGTTGAATGAAGTGTTTTAGATTGTTTGTATTCCTCATTGTTCTTTGATATGCGAGAAGACTGTGAAGAACGTATTATACCTGTGTTGGTGGAAGAAGGTTTTGCGTGAGACTGGTGAGAACTGGTACTGGCTTTAGAGGAACTATGATGATTGACTGGTCGACTCACAAGTAATGAACTTGACGTATTCGCTACAGAAATAAGTAAAAAAACTAGCATTTAACTTATATATGGATAAGGGCGTTTTGGACAAACATTGATCGCAGTTAAAACAGGTGTATGACCTAGTGTATCAAACTTCTGGCTAATAAGTTATTCATAAACTAAGTAAGGAAGGTACACCTAGGGTAGTTCGACAACCCCGATTCCAAGTCATTAGTGTATACAGATTTGGGGATCCTGAAAGAACAAATAGCGTGTGAAGTCATTTGTGGTCATCATCACTACCAAAGCAGGTGGTTTATTTTGGAAGCCACACCCAGCCTTTGACCTAAAGGTCTAATCCAAAAGGTAGCTAAACAACGTTATAAGATGTAATCTCATGGTAGCCGGTGAGTAACTATAGGTTAATACACCATTTGTTTCCTTAGGATCCTGAAACCCATATGCACCATCGGTTTAGAATCAGGGTTTTCCAACTCCCCTAGGTGGACTCTCCGTACCCATCAACCCCGTCAGAGCGCCTGACATTCGCTTTCGATCCTCGAAATTTGGTAAACACCCCCGGCGCGAGAATGATGTGAGTAGGACTTCCCTGGCAGTAGTTGCATGCACGTGTCCATGTAAGCGCATTTCGAAAGAAAGAGCTGACTCTCCCCACTGTCGGTCGTACCAGGGGCATTCGGGGACAAACATGGGACCGCATCTCCTGATGTTATTCCAGTACTTTATGAATTAGACCCATGGGTCAAGGGCTCGAGGAATGGTCCTCTAATAAAACCACCTGTCTCGGTTTGGGGAGTACTCCAGCCCCCCCACACACACAATGATTTGTGTAAAACGAAGATATATTTTAGTGCCTCTTTGTGCCAACGTTTGTGCGTATAAATAAACAAATAAGACAAAATAAGTGTAGTTAAAATTCGAGGGATAATACATATATATATATATATATATATATATATATATATATATATATATATATATATATATATATATATATATCGAACGTAACGAGGTCAAAAAATTCGGCTTATATAATGATACTAATTTTTAGATTCAGAGGAAGACAGAAAAATGAAGGTGAGAAGCGACCAACCATGAGCCACGTTACTTACGTCCTTCATAGATAACATAGTCATCACTAATGACGTTACGTCAAACAACAAGTCTGTGATAAACTCTATATTAAACTGTTTCAATCATATCAAACAGGTTAAACCTAATCTCATTTACTGTAAATGAGTAAGATTAAGTCTGACAGTCAAATCTTAATGTCACTGAAATGCACCCTCAGCACAATGAAACTGGTATCATCCAGTTAGCAAGGAAGAAAATAACAAGTCATCGTGAAATAAAATGTGCAAATAAACAAACATGCACAGCTGTGCGAATTATATTGAGTTGTATATATTATCTGAGAGCTACCAACAATTTTATGTCAATGTAGGAACATAAAGAGTGACATCGGAGGAAATAGAAAAATCTTACCGTTCTGAATTGAATTAGCTGGATGTTTTAAAGCATTTAATTTATCTGAAACTACAAACATAATTTCTATATGTATCCTTACTTGAAGACTTGGGCTGTGAATTGTCTTTATCACAAGATGTCTGGCGTGAAGCCTGAAAGAGTGAACCTGGTTTGAATTGAGGTGCGTCTGATTCTTCGTCATTGAGTAAGTTATCTACTTTGATGTTTTTATCCTATGATGTGAATGTTGGCATAAAAATGACGCTTACGTCGGCTGCTAGATTCGCATTAGCTGGAGTGTGGAAGAAAACGAAAGAAATACCATACTGTAAAGTTTTGTTAAACGGTTGCGAGCAAACAAATTTGACTAGATCCCATTTCTGGCAGGCTATAGATTTTATAAACTGATCACCACTAAATACCCGGACACGGTTAAGGTTCGTTTCGTTTTTTGCATCTACTGGAGACATAAAAGAAGAGGATGGCAGGAGTACCTAGAACTGGTCTGAACAACCAACTAAAATGTTACCGATGAGTCATCTGATGAAGCAGATCTTCGCACCAGCACTTCAATAAAGGCAGAACCATTATTCCCAATATCTAAACGTGAAATTTCAATAGGTTCGGAAAACTATGAAGCTTTAAGATGATATGAGAAAAGCAGCTTACACTCAATTCTACAGCTTCTTGCTTGCTTCCACCACTTACACAACACCATTTTGAGAATGACGACCCTTTTAAAAGGTTGGATGCAGGAAAAGCCTGGAAAAGAGAAATACGAATGTTAAATGTTGCATTTTTAGGGAAATCATATAAGGTCTTGAAAGAGTATGAACGTTATGATTTCAGCCTAGATTAGGTTACGAGAGGCTTGTAAATAGTTCATGAGAAGAAAATTAAGTGAAATAAACACGAGTGAAACAGAAACCTAGAAAATAATAGACAGACTATAAAGCAATCTTTTCGAATTGATTCTAACTAGTAACTTGTACTATTCAGTAAGAAGTTTCAGTTGCGACTGCTTAATGAAGTAAAGTTTAAAAATATGTTAATTCAGAAATTAGGGATGGTTAGTTTCCCTTACATGATGGCAGGTTGACTGAATCACGAATGTGAAATACTAGTTACAAGATATTACGCCAAACGATAACAACCGGATCTTGTTGTTTGGCCTGACACATTTTTTAAAAAGTCAGTCAGCTACAACATAGGACCGGGCACATATGTGCATCGGTCCAAGTTGCCATACTTCATTAGCACAACAAGATGAACACCGGATTCATAGTAGTTAGTTCCATGGTGGTAGTATATAAAAGAAAGATTGCAATAAGGACATAATGCAGGAAGACAGAATTGGTTTGTAGAAAGATATGACGCGATTTTAATCTCATAGTTTAAGGGAAGACAAAGAGTGTATACACCGACGCCACTGTGATCGGTTCGGAGCCATGTCACTAAGGGTCTCCAACCATTGGTTACGATAGTCACACGGACCCCAACCAAGTAGTCTGCATCTACCAACATGGCTCAGATCAGAAGTTAGTGGCTTCAAGCACTGATGCCGCGTTTTGGTTTGGCCGCCCCTAAATTTCTTCCAACCATCCCCAACACCAGTTAGCAATGTGCGTCGTGGTAAACAGTACTCAGGCATACGCAACACGTGGTCCAACCATCTCGGTCGATGGAGATTCACAACCTCATCAACTGATTTACCATCATTTCCTGATACCCTACATCTAACCTCACCATTACTTACCCGGTGATCCCAGAAGATGCGAGCATCTGTGATCAAATACTAGTTGCTTACGAATATCTTATACTCTTAGTGGCCACGTTTCGCAGCCGTAAAGTAAAACAGAACGAACTGCCGCACAGTTTATTGTTCCCTCAGTTGATAGACGAATATCTCGCCATCGCCATAGGTGACGTAAGTTGGCAAAAGCCAAACGAGCTTTTCGAATCCGTGCTGAGATCTCGTCAGACACCAACCCATTAGGGCTGATCAGACTTGAAGAGCGGTAAGACTAAAAGCAGCGAACCCAAGGTTTGAGGGCGAAATCGTACTGCTGACTATACAAAGGTGTAGCAGCAGTAAGGTGTTCCTTCAGACAACTAGCATGACAGCGATGCTGTCTTCGCCTTTCCACAAGGAGGGGTAGGTTAGAAAAGGTCAACCTTAAGAATGCACACCTCTCCTTATCCCATGGATGTCCGTCTCCGGCGGTAAGGTCTCAACAAGTACGGAGCTAACACGAAAATTACTTACAAAAAGGTCGTGTGTGACTGAGCTCGAGTAGTTGTCCCTTGGGCACTGCGGTCACGCTCTCAGATCACTAAGACCACCTCTAATCCAATTTCCTTTTCAGGTACCTCCAGAAGAACCTTTCTACGGTATGGGCAACCGGGAAGTGATAACCGCCCTCATACTTCCAACAGCACTCAAGATCACTGTTTTCCAAAGGGGAATACATAAGTGTTTGCTTAGTAAATAAGTCATATTAACTTTTATAGTTATGAGAATCAAAATCATCCTTTACGTTATCCGTCATGAAACACGAACGAGGCTGTAGTCGGTAATGTCTAACACAAGTTTGTATACTTCAATCAGTGAAAACAACTTAATCCCTGAAAAAAAATTACATGCCACACATTTTCACTACACACAAGAACTTTTATGGTCAAATGATTGCAATTTTCGGTTGTTTATGAAATTAAAATCATATTTTACATAAATGATTCAGATCAAACAGTTGAGTAGTGGACTCACTTTTTGATAAGCAATAGAACATTCCGAAAAACACACTTATTAAAGACTTGGTGCCTGTTTTAATAATGCAGTAATTGTTCGATTGCTATATACGTTCATGTTAATGTATTTCTTTAATTGTTGCTGATGGAATCACTTTAAACCATTTCCTTACTTTTTATGTACTATTTAGCCGACTAGTGAGCAGTACGTAATTATTGATGCACCAAGCAGGAGGAAGTATCTAATTGCAGATAAATAGTGGATTGTGGGCAAATAACTTTGTCTCTATCCTATGGACCTTGTGGATATGCATCTACAGAACAATGCCCAACCAGATGACAATCGGTCAGTCCTGAAGTGCAAGGTCATTTACTACTGCGGTAAGTTACAAACGTAAAAACCATAATTTCCTATAAATAGTTTCTAGCCATTTCACACTTGAGTGCGAACATTATGCAGCCAATGTCGAATTCTGATGGGGCGTGAAAATCCACCGAAATTTGATAGCGGACTACCAAGTTTGCAGTTCCATTTGTCATCTGAAGAGGAACTAATAACATTAGGCGCATGTCTTAAGCAAAAAGACATTGAGGACAAATTTGTAAGTCAACAAAATTCATAGGATTACTTGTTTCTATTCCAGAAGGCCATGCTGACGTGGTTAATGGATAATAACCCTAAGACGTCCATGCGCTATGTTGTGTCATACGTCATGACATCTCTAATTACCAGCCACTCCACTCTCTTAGGCACTCCGTCGGAAAGAAAACTTCAGAACTGCAGGTTTTACGGTTGCATCAGTCAGTCAGTCAGCTACAACGTAGGACCAGGCACATATGTGCATCGGTCCAGGTTGCCATACCGCATCAACACAACAAGATGAACACCAGATTCATAACAGTGGTTAGGTAAAAGGTGGTAATATATAAGAGAAAGATTGCATATAGAGATATAGTACAAGAAGAAAGAATTGGTTCGTAGAAAGAAAGATATGAAGCGATTTTAATCTCTTAGTTTAAGGGAAGAAAAAAAGTGTATACACCGACGCCATTGTGATCGATTCTGAGCCATGTCACCAAGAGTCTCCAACCATTGGTTACGATAGTCACGCGGACCCCAACCAAGTAGTCTACATCTACCAACATGGCTCAGACTAGAAGTTAGTGACTTCAAGCACTGATGCCACGTTTTGGTTTGGCCGCCCCTAGCTTTCTTCCAACCATTTCCAATACCGGATAGCATTGCACGTCGTGGTAATCGGTGTTCAGGCATACGTAACACGTGGCCCAACCATCTCAGTCGATGAAGATTCATAACCTCATCAACTGATTTACCATCCTTTCCTAATACCCTGCGTCTAACTTCACTATTACTTACCCGGTTATCCCAGCAGACGCCAGCAATATTTCTAAGGCATCTGTGGTCAAATACTAATAGCTTACGAGTGTCTTCTACTCTTAATGGCCATGTTTCGCTGCCGTAAATTAAAACAGAACGGACTGCCGCGCAGTATACTCGTCCTTTTATTGATAGACGAATATCTCGCCTTCGCCACAGGTGACGTAAGTTGGCAAAAGCCAAACGAGCTTTTCGAATCCGTACTGAGATTTCGTCCGATACCAACCCATTAGGGCTGATCAGACTTCCAAGATAAGTGAAGTTGTCAACGCGTTCGACTACTTCACTCCCTATCCTTAGTTCAGGTGTTAACGCAGACCAGTCCTGAAGCAACAACTTGCATTTAGAGGGAGAGAAGCGCATTCCAAACATCCTGGCGTTGTTGTTCAGTGCTACCAGAAGACTCTGCATTTTATCAGCGTCTTCACCAAACAGGACTATGTCATCTGCGTATTCTAAGTCGATAAGTGGACCTCCTGGAAGGAGATCAATACCCGAGAACTCAGTCGACGAGAAAGTTATTTCCATCAGTAGATCTATGATGAAGTTAAACAAAAATGGGGAAAGTGGACATCCTTGACGGACACCACTTGAGGTTGCAAAACTAGATGACAGTTCGCCATAAGCTCTCACTCGACTAGTAGTGTTCGAGTAAAGAGCCTTTACAAGGTTTATGTACTCCTGGGGTACGCCTTTCAATGACAGACACTGCCACAGAATCTCGCGGTCTACCGAGTCAAATGCTGCTTTTAAGTCAAGAAAGACCACCATCGTCGGACGCCGATAAGTATGCCTGTGTTCTAGAACCTGACGAATGGTGAATATGTGGTCGATGCAGCCACGACCAGGTCTGAAGCCAGCTTGATTTTCTCGTGTTTGCAGTTCACGAGTTTTAGTTAGGCGTCTGATTATTATTGAGGCTAGTATTTTAGATATTATATTAGTTAAACTAATCCCTCTGTGGTTGTCGCAGGATGATTTTGACCCTTTCTTATATATTGGGACGATAAGTGATTGTGACCAGTCAGATGGAATAACGTCTAACTCCCAGATCTTAGCTAAAATATTAGTCAACCTAACCGCTAAAATTGGACCACCATCCTTAAAGACTTCTGGAGCCAGTCCATCTGGACCAGCAGCCCTTCCTCGTTTCAGATTATCTATAGCCTTTTGAACTTCAGCAAGAGTTGGGGGACCTACTTCAATGTTCCATTCACGCTGTCTGGGAATGGAGGGTAGTTGTAGAGTAGCTGAAGGCCAGCTGAACTGTTCTCTGAAATGTTCCGCCCATCGTTCTAAACGCCTGGACTGGGAACAGATGAGTGTATCGTCTTTTTCCGATATAATCTCACTTACATTTGACTTATTAATTCCAGTTTCTTTTATTAGTCTGTAAAGCTGTCTTGTGTTCCCTATAGTCGCCGCCTTTTCCATCTCTTTTGCTTTCGTTGCCCACCACTGCTCACGGTCGTTTCTTAGACTTTTTCTTAACCTAGATCTGATTTGTTGTCGCTCTTTATCATGTTCGGAACCTGATGGGACGAGTTTGCGAGAATCCATCAGTGTGATAGACTTTGAAGAAATCCACTGGTCCTTTGAAACTCTGTGGTTTAAGTCGCTAATAGATGTCACTGCTGCTTCCACAGCTGTTTGTATGTCTTTCCAAGCAACACCTGGGTCAGCATCGTCTTCAGAACTACCTAAGTGTGAACTCAGTTGTTCTTGGAACCTATTTTTGGTTTTCTCGTTACTCAATTCAGTTCTAATTGGTCTTTTTACTGAGGCTTTTTTGCGTCCGGTGAGGCGCAAGCAGATGCGTGCCCGTATTAGGGCGTGGTCGGAGTCCAAGCAGGTACTCCAGAATGAGCGACAATCTTCTACCGACCCTCTCCAACGATGACTGATGGCAATATGGTCTATTTGAGTCCATCGTTGGTTTGGTGTAGGAGGTCGCCATGTTAGACGATGTCTCTCCTTATGCTTAAAATTTGTGTTTGCTAAAAATAAGCGATTGTCTGAGCACAGTTGCAGCAGACGATCACCATTATCTGTTCGCTGAGCCGGAATGCTAAAATATCCACCTAAATGCCTTTCTGTTTGGTTTAAGCTACCTATCTGAGCATTAAAGTCACCCCCTACGAGTACTATGTCTGAGCGTTTAGCTTTCTGAAGAAGTTCAGAAAGCTTTCTGTAGAATTCATCCTTCACTTCATCTGAACTGCAGTCAGTGGGAGCGTAGGCAGAAACGACAAAAAGGCAACGACGTGTGTCCCTATCCTTCCGAGTTCTTACGGAGCCGTTTAGCCGAACAGCACATAGACGACTGTTGATGGGGATCCACTCTAGCAGTGCTTGTTCCGCCCTCATGCTTAGTGCTATGCCTACACCTGCCAGTCCACGAGAACTGGCCATCGGGTCACCAGATACACGTAGAGTGTATCTCGTTTGCTCTCCGTTTTGCCGAGGTGAGGTCAAGTGAATGACCACACTGGGATCCTGTATGCGTGTTTCGGAGACACAGCATACATCGATGGAAAGAGACTCTAGGGTTTTAGCCAAGGAAGCCTGCTGACCGATTTGACATAGAGTGCGTACGTTGAAAGCTCCAATGTGTAGTTTGGAGCGAGGTTTCAGTAGACCTGGGACAGAGTTTTGAGCACTAGGATCGTTGGCTATGGTGACACTTGAGGAAGAAGCCGAAGGAGGAAGTTTAGGGTTGAAAGTCGATGTAGGAGGAATTGAAGAGGAAGGTTGATTATGAATACAGTGGTCTTGGGTGCTGTTAGAGGTATGAGGGCGGTTATCACTTCCCGGTTGCCCACACCGTGGAAGGGTTCTTCTGGAGGTACCTGAAAAGGAAATTGGATTAGAGGCGGTCTCAGCGTCCTGAGAGCGTGACCGCAGTGCCCAAGGGACAACTGCTTGAGGCCGGTCGCGCACGGCCTTTTTGTGGAAGGTTTTTGACGTGTTAGCTCCGTTCTTCAAAGAGCCTTACCGCCGGAGACGGAAATCCGTGAGGTAAGGCGAGGTGTGCATTTTTAGGGTCGACCTTTTCTAGCCCCACCCCTCCTTGTGGGAAGGCAGCATCGCTGTCATGCTGGTTGTCTGAAGGAAACACCTTACTGCTGTCACACCTCTGTACAGTCAGCAGTACGACTTCGCCTTCGGACCTTGGGTTTGTTGCTTTTAGTCTTACCGCTCTTCAACCGACCTGTCTGACATGGTAGGACCTTGAGGAACGGTTGTTCCAGCCAGTAAAGCTCGGTTGCTTCATCACGATAGGCAAGCCCGACCACCACGTCAAGGTAGCAACAACGGTCGGTTGCATACGAAGAAAAATTTTTTCTAATCTTTAGGAGCATCAATATCTCGATTCTTGTCTCCATCCGTCGACGAAAAACAACATGCCGAAGCTTATGACATCGTGAAGCAAAGGTATTTTCACGACATGAGACAAAATAGAAAAGCGTCATCGGAGAAAACAAGAACACGTATGTACCAATATGTTATAAATATTAACTGCTGTTCTATAGGTGGTGTTCAATATTAAGGTAAATAACCGTAAGTACTATTCAAGTACAGTTGTTTAACAAACTATGGCAGTTGGTTGTTGTACTGCTTTGTGTTCATTAAATTTCAGAATTTGCATGAACATTATTTTGGTTTGGAATAGTTACACTGCAGTTTAGGAAGAGCGTTACTATTGAAATATCTTTTATGTTTAACTTAATTGTTGATAAAGCATTTTCCAAGCAACACCTGGGTCAGCATCGTCTTCAGAACTACCTAAGTGTGAACTCAGTTGTTCTTGGAACCTATTTTTGGTTTTCTCGTTACTCAATTCAGTTCTAATTGGTCTTTTTACTGAGGCTTTTTTGCGTCCGGTGAGGCGCAAGCAGATGCGTGCCCGTATTAGGGCGTGGTCGGAAACCCTTAAAGTGTATGTTGTGGAAGTTTGTTTAATTTTATATGCACTTATCATTTGTGACATGTAAGTTACAACAGGATTTGACACTTACTATGAAAATACAGAGCGATCGTTGCTCAAGCATTCGACTATTGTCGATATTTTTATATAATATGATGTTTCATCTTTTTAACAAATGTCTATAAACTTGTACAATTTTTTAATGCAGTCAATTTCGGTCGTCATGTGGTTTGTTATGGAAATAAAGGTGGACATACGAGACATTCGTAATTAAACAAAAGGTGGTTAATAAAGTGTGTGATTAAACGTGCATTATAAGTCAGGGGATTATTTAAGCTCAAATTAGATAAGGTAGCGTGTATTTAGGCAGAAAGTAGACAATTCAGCGACATGTAAAACAAAGAGAGAAATGAAAAATCCTGCATTCTTTTAGCTTGACGGCCGAAAAAGCAGATATTTTGGCGCGTTTCGCCGTTATTTCCCCGTCGTTCACTTTTATTTATCCCTTATTAGTTGTTTGAGCAAACAACATCCTCGAGAATGTAGAAAACGCTAAAGGTAAAGTTCCAGTTTAACCTCAGAATATTGGTCACAAGGAGACAAGAAAATTATAAAAACTAATTCGTGTATTTAGGGTAAGATCAACTTGCTTTATCTTCACTCGTAAAGCTGACAACTCTACTTGGAACGACTTCAGGCATCACGGGCAACGCTCCTAGGGTATCGTCCACTGATGGGGGTTGCGAGCACTTGAAGGTCAAACTGTAGCAAAATGATTGGTGCGTCACATCGACAATTCGTGAAAATTTTCAGAAGCGGTCAAACCAAGACATTTTTAGATTTGAATTGAGTTCAGCCACACTATGTCTGATAACGTTCATTCTTCAAGTAACGAAGACGATTCCGTTGTGATGATGCATGATATAGGACGAATCTTCAATGATATTATGTTATCTCGAAGATTTACAAGCTGGAACAATTTTGAGACCTGTTTGAAAGAAGTACATAAGGTAATATGACCTCTGGTTAATAATTATTTTTTTAGTATACGCATACTAAGTACGTTATGTCAGTATGCAAAAAGAACAGTGATGATCCAACTCTAAAGTACTTTTTCGTGAGATATGTCTGTACATATGGACGTAAACGCAGTTCGTCAGAGTCAGATGCTTGCGTTCAAGATGTAGATGATGATAGTAATAATCATTCTTCTGAAGAGCATACAACTTCTAACTCGCCAACACAATCTAGGCAAAGGAGACGACGTCGGTCATCTACGTATGCCTTACTTCAAATGAATTTATCCTTCAGGTCGAAATATTGCCACTGTCAATCAGGATTTTGGGTCCGGGCAGTAAATGGTGAGTTGAAACTCACCTCTATTAAAACCGTGCACAACCATCCTTGCACAGAAGGATATATTTCTGTCGATCCATCGAAACGACAGTTGACCTCAAGTGAACGCTTGTATTTAAGAACGTTTCTACTGAGTAATACACCAACTCGTAGCTTACGGTATCTGGTTTCTTTGAAGTTCAATAAACAGCTTACCAAGGACGATATCGCCAGAATGCGTTCACAGTTGTACCCAGGTTGTTGAACTCACATTGTAATTAATTGAGTTTAGACACTAAAAACATCAATGACATTTTACAGCGCATTCAAGCAAATACTGAAGTTAAAGTATTTAATGAAAATGGGAACATGTCTATGATTTGCTTCAGCCGCAGAGAGCAAATAGCTGTTTACCACGCGTTCCCGGAGGTAATATGTATTGATTCGACTTATCAGACCAATAAAGTCGGGTAAGTGACGATTAGTAATAAATTAATCTGAAAGTTTTCCACTGTTCCAGCTAGTGGTGACTGATAGTCTTGGGCAAGGGCACACTGTTATGTATGCTCTTTGCAGTCAAGAACGACGCGAAGATATCGAAAGACTATTGGAATGTTTTAAAGAGATAATGTGCGGTACTTATGCTACACGCACTTTCATTATGGATTCGGCAGCGACCGAAATTTCGGCTGTGCAGTCTACGCACAGTCATTCTAACATAATACTTTGTTTATTCCATGCCCTGATAGCGTTTTTCAGGAAGGTATGTGTTAGCTGTACAAATTATCTGTAGTTCCGAAATCCTGATGTGCGCAAATGCTTGGAACACCTTGTGAAGACTAGACGGTCTGATATGTGAGCTTCGCTTTTCATAGCGCATTATATTCAGATATACTCGAAAGTACGAACATCTAAGGACGCATTTCTCACGAGCGTATGACTACATAAAAGACTACTGAATTGCCAGGAAGTCAATGTGGGCTCGCTGTTACCGGCGACATGTATTAAGCCTGGGCAACCACACAAACAACCGTGTCGAAAATGCTCACAAACACCTAAAAGAACGTCTCAGAAGAGGTGATTCCCTGCTTTTGACGTTCTGAAAAATTTGGGGTAAAACAAGCTGACCTATGTTTGCATCCATATGACGCTGTAAAAAATCTTCAACGTTTTCCATTTCTTTAGGTAAGAAATATAGTTAAATGTATCATGAATTCCAGGTTCCAATGTCATTTTGAATTCCTATGAGTGAGTTCACATCTTTTGCAGCTAAAATTGTATCTGTAAATTATAAACGTTTTAGGACAATGAGACACGGATTTATAGAAGGAGAATACATACGGTGCTACAACAAGTGTATGATGTATGTCGTTGATACTTCACATGCATGATGTGCTTGTGAGCGTTTCAGTGACAACATGCTGCCCTGTGGTCATATTCTGTATGCACATTCCAAAGATCTAATTCGTGGAGGTAAGAGTGTGTTCCCTTATCTCTATAAGCTTTGTAGACTTATTTCAACATAGCAGCCGGTGGAAATGGAAATACATAATGGACTTGGTTCTTCGTGCGCTGGACAACATGTCATTCTCTACAGGGAGTGTTGATCTGCTAGAGAAGTTCACTAACAACTACCACTCAGTCCATGCTCTTAGTGAACCTTTGGCAAGTAAACTCATCCGTTCATGCCTCGAAGCATCGGAAGACATGCGCACAAGGGATGAGTTCAATCGGTGCTAATGATGAAGCTACAACATCAGAATCCATTGTTAATACAGATCATAGCTATGCTTCTTGATAACAAGAAGTTCTAATATTGTAATCTTTTTACTTTTACATAAATTCATTTATATGGCCATTGATTTATTCTTATAGCGTAACGGCAGGGAGTGTACTGTTCAGTCTTATGTGGCTGTGAGACAGGGATGTTGTCTCGCGTTCTTGTGTAATAATTACCAGTTTGGCGCACACGCGATTAGTCATACATACCGTTTACCAAATACTGCTACCTTGAACATGTAGTTCGAATTTCGACCTGTCACGATAGATAAGAATTGCCGTGATTAAAAGACTGGTGCGTTATAAATGAAAACGTTTATTAAAGTTTGAATCTAGCACAAATGATCCATCAATAAATAAATTCTATTTCTCAGGATTTGTTCCCGTTAGGTTTTTGAACGCTTGCGAAGCTAGCTGGAAATAAGATAGACAAGAAAGTTATTTCAGTTTAAATGTTTATCAGAAACTAGTATAAAAACGGAAACCAGTATTCAATTACAGATCGAAAGTGCATTTAGCACATTCTTCCTTTGGATAGTCAATCACGCTTATTTCCTTTATCTCTTGCGTTGCTTAGGAACGTCTGGGTCACAACATACACGGATTGTATTATTCAATTCTTTGGACAGGTTGCACTTCGGAAACTTAGACGATGAACGTATATAAAGACTACTGTGTGAATTTACTTTGAATCGTCCTGTGCAACCTGCAATTCTTGATGCATATTCTATTGTAGTCCCACGTAAGTTATGAGTAATTGTCATTAACGGCATCAGCACGTAAGCTAGACAGGCCTTGGTTGATTTCCGAAGATCATCACATAGGATCTCACACAATCTGGTCACCTTAGATCAAGATATCTTGACTATCGAATCGTAATTTTCAGTGCTTTCTCGTGACAGCTTTATATCAGTACTTATTTCTGATATTAGGTATTTTTGCAATAATACCGGCAGCCAAGATATTGAAGCTCCCCAGACAACCCAAAAAGGGGAAAACGCATCACAATGTCGCTTTTTTCGCCTGTCCGGGGGAAATAATGTGGATTTCCCCTTTCTTCGCCGTTTTGTCGATAAATTACTCACTTTTCGCATAAATATCTGCCAAATTACCGAATTTTCGCCTAACTGTCCGCATAATTGTCTACTTTTCGCCTAAATGTCCGCTGAATTGTTTACTTTTCGCCTAAATGCACACAGAACTCCCTGTTTTCCATCCATTGACATAAACCCAAAGGTCTCTTATGTTCGCCTTTATTTTTAACAACAGACCAAAATAAATCTGCAATACAGTGGAAAACCGGCATATTTTTGAAAATTTTTATTTAAAAGGTAAAGCGTATTATTGTACAACACTAGAGCAGAAGCTTAAGCATCGATTGTTTTGCATATCCAATGCAATTGCTAATTCATTGTTATATGAAACTATCTGCAAAAGAAGAAACACGTGATGTATTATTTATAAGCAATGTGCATTTATTCAATAGTTCACTGACACTCAAACACACATTTTCAACACTTCTACAGCTTCTCACGTAAGTAAAAAAGTAAGCTGTTTGAAAAATAATATTTATTGAAATGTAAGTATAACATCAAAACAATTGCACGGCTATTGAGAATTAAGGTAGTCGTCCCGTGAATTCTGAATTTTAAAAAAGAAAAAAGTTACAACCATATCTCAATGACATGCTTTGATACAGCCAAATACATGTGTACATCTACACAAGAAGTAGTAATGCTATCTTAGCTTGGTCTCTAGTAAAACCTCCACATAATTATACCTCTACCGCACGATTATGATTTATTTCCTGCAATACAATCATCTGGTGGCTAATATATCTAACTGTAGGAGGCAATATTAACATCTTGGTATGTGTTATTATCATCTATAGCATATACATAATATTTACAACACTCAGGACACCTTATGTTTTCACTATAAACCTATTTCTGCCATAAAAGTCGAACAAAACAGTGAAAATCAGCAGAAATTGTGATAAAGATGGGAAAAACGATAAATCTTTACATGGTATCGTTATTTGTAACGCAGTTTTGGTAGCCTTGACGACAATACAATTTTTATGACGATATATGCCTGAATCTTGCTATTTCATATAAAAATAAAAGATTTGTCTACCATCAGTGCATACCTAACTAGAAATAATTGCTAATCTGCGATGCAAACACCGAAAAACTATTATAGCAGCACCTGAATAATGAATTTTCAAGGACTTCGCGATACCATGTAACGCAAAATGGAAAAACCCCTTTTTACCTAATTATGAAAACGGAAAATAAATTTTCAAATTTATTCATAATGTACTTCAAAATTTGGTTGTGCACAAGGCAGAAATGAAGAAGTAGCGCAAAAAAGTGTCGCGATACCCCTGGAGCGCTGCCGGCATCACGCAACGTCAAATCTCAAATTAGATCCATTAATCTTCAGTCTTCAATCATTGTGTCTATTCCAATGGTTTATATGGTTATGAACATAACAATAGAAGCTTTTGCTAACTGGGCTTCCTTATCTAGTAGCAGTGGATCACCGATGCCTCCAGGTAAATACATAAGTATTTTAACGATAAAGAAGGAAAAATAACTTAGTAACGTCATAATGAGATATTGTCCTTAGTCCTTAAGAA